ATCTCAACATGAATGATAGATAGTAGCTATTACTAGAGTACAAGCGACTCTTCTGTTGCTGGTGCCTAGCTCTCCTCTCCATCCCCCGCCATTGGCTGACATCGCCAGAGCAAGGCCTCGTGTAGCGGCGGGCCATCTCGCGACTCCTCATCCCTCGAACATTAGCAAATCTTGCTTTTCGTGCTGGACATTCGTAAGGCTTTTGATTTAGTTATACAAGATTACATCTTCGATCTCCTCCAGAGAAGGGGCATCCTGAGTCGGTTCAAGGCCTGAATCGCCGCTTGTTAGGAACTCGAGAGAGAAATGCAAGGTTAATTGGAAAACTGTCTGCCGCCCCACCCACCTTAGGGGTCTCGGCGGTGTGATCCATCTAAAAAAATTGCGAGGGCAATGCGGTTACGTTGGCCATGGCTTGAATGGACCTACCCAAGCAAGTTGTAGTTTGGCATGGGCAAATTTTGTGATGCCGTGGACACGAACCTCTTCTACATCTATACCTGATTCACCATCGACAATGGGGACAAGACACCATTATGCGATGCGTGATGGTAGGATGGGACGAGGCCGATCAAGTTTACTAGAGATTTTCCATTGAACATTTATTCGAGTAACAACTTTGGAACATTCTCTTGCATGTCCAGATTAACAATGAATGTTGAGGATGCTGGTTCTTGGAGCTGCATGTTAAGAGCATCTCTAACAGACCCCGTAAAATTTGGACCCAGAAAACGTGTTTACAGTTCGCTGCAGATCAAATTTGCGGGGCGAATTCGTGCGCTGCAGATCAGACCCCGTATATGAAACTGTAAAATTTGAAGAAAAAAACATTTGCGCGAGAAATTTGCAATGCCATTCATCGTACATAGTTGATCATCATACTACATCATAGATAGTTGTTCATCATACTACTTCATGGTACTACATAGGGGGAGGGGAAGGGGGGGGGGTCTGCGGGCCGTACAGCGTACCCGAGCTTAGGCTACCAAAATCGACGGTGCGATGGCGACAACGCGGCGGAGGAGCCGGAGGAGCTCAGTCCTCGTCGGAGTCGAGGTCGATCCAGACCTTGGCCTGCTCGGCCTTCATGACGCGCATGTCTGCCTCCTTGGATGCGTGCGCCTGTGACGCCCTGCTCGAGGAAGTTCTCCTCGATCTCGAGCTCATAGTGGCGGCACGCGTCGGCCTCCTCCCCCTCTCTCGCCGGGGGCTCCATGATGGCGCGCTCAAGGTGGTCCTCCTGCCCCGGGGGAGGTAATCTTCGAGGCTGATGATGTCTCGACGCGGCGGGTCCGCGTCGGCCTCGAGCTTGACGGCGAGCGGCCCGAGCTCCTCCGGCTCTCTCTTGACCGGAGTGAGCCGCGAGCTCGAGGCGCCCGCGGACGAGCTCCCCGTGGCAGAGAAGCCGGAGGAGGCACGACGGCGGACCGCGAGCTCGCACTCGTACTCGCCGAGCTCGCGGCATTCGAACGCCGGTGGCAGACGGCTCCCATAGTTGAGCCACTTCCGTGGCCACGGTAAACTTTTTACGGGCCGGGCCCGGGATACGGAGTGTTCTGGCAAGAAAAAGGGGCTGAACCCGTATACTCACCGGAATTATACGGGTTCCACCCTTTTACGGTGTCTGCTAGAGATGCTGTAAGTGGTATCTACTCGACCAAGTCGGCAACAAGGTACAGTTCCATGGTGCCACACCGACTTAATCCTTAAAAAGTGAAATAAGTTTATTGAACAAAATGAAATTTGTCCTTACAAATAACTGAAACGGTTTTCTTAAAGACAAATTGTGTTTTTAATTATCAAAATGGACGTGAAATTAGTTTATTTGAATACGTGAAATTAGTTTCCTAAAATGAGTGAAAGTAGATTTTTAATTAATTGAAATACGTTTTTTAAAAGAGTTGAGACCAGTTTTTTTAAATTATCGAGATCAATTTATTGAAAGAGTGAAATTGATTTTTAAAAATGGGTGAAGTTAGTTTATTGAAATCTATTTGTTCGAAAGAACCAAAATCAGTTTATTGAAAAGAGTGAAATCGGTTGAAATTACTGAGATATGTTTTCTGAAAGAATTGAAACAACTTATAGAAATGGATGAAAATTAGTTTTTTGAAATAATTGAAATCAGTTTTGGAAAGATTTGAAATTTGCTTTTAAAAATTACTGAAATATGTAAAAGAAAAAAAAACATTTCCGGTCCGATTCCGGACGGGGAGTCGGAAGGAAAGTGCCGTGGACCGTCTTCGACTCTGCTCCGGTACCGCATGGAACCGGATGACGGGCCTTTATGTACCTTCCCCGGATGATCGTGGAAGGAATTCCTTTCCCGAGGCTCCGATGACGACGACGACGGGATTCCAGCTCCAGCACAGCTTCCGCACCATCATCGATCCATCGCTGTTGCCGCCCAAGAAGAGGCCGACGAATTCCGCAGCGGCGATGACGACGACTCGCAGCTCCAGCTAGTCGCCGGGTGCTGCCTCCCCACCGCCATCAAGATCCAGGAATCGCTGTTGCCGCCCAAGAAGAGGCCGACGAATTCCGCAGCGGCGATGACGACGGCTCGCAGCTCCAGCTAGTCGCCGGGTGCTGCCTCCCCACCGCCATCAAGATCCAGGAATCGCTGTTGCCGCCCAAGAAGAGGCCGACCAGCACCACCAGCGCCTCCTCCTCCTCCTCCTCATCTCTTCTGCTGGTTTCTCCTCCAATGAGGAAGAGACAGATGAATTACTACGTCGTCGACGCCGGCGCAAAGATGGCGGCCGCTCTGCAGCAGGCCGGAGCTGGGCCGGCGGGGGCGTGCGGCGCCATGGCCTCGAAGCGCGCCAGGAAGGCCAGCTCCAGATACAGCGCCGACGTGTGGACGCAGTGAGCAGAGTTGGCTGACAGATTACAAGGCTTTCATCGCCGGGAGCATCAGAACCTCTAACTGCAGACAGATACTACTGTATTTGGGAAGGATCTGGACTGGAGCATGTAGCATCGTAAGAGAGTGCGATCAATTCTATAGCCCATTATTAATTGTTTAGCTTCCTTGGCCAGGTATGTGCAACGGTAGTAACCTCTGCAAAAGTACAATTTAACAAGAAACCAGGGGGGAAATTGGAGTTTCAGAATTGTTCAGAAGAAGCCTTTGCTAACCTTGGGTGCTTGGCGTCAAGGATATCTTTCTGGCCGTACTTCCTCCAGCTGAAGCCGTCATCAAGTAGGCGCCCAAGGAACAGTGAATCGTCAACACACTCAATGTTAGCTGTAGGACGACATGAGCGCATATCAATGGCCTTCCTTAAGGCTGACACTGCAGCCCTTGTACTGGATTTATCGGCACCACATCCCCCAACAATTACAAGGATTTCCTTGGGGACTAACAGGTGCTCGATGACTGTAGGTGCACCGCCATAGAGAAAATTGAGCCTGACCTCAAGCTTTTCGAGACTGGGCATTGCCCCTGCCTCAAAAGTCAGTTGTGATATCCTGATGCAGGACAGCCTGAAATGCTTAAGACTAGGGAATCCCATTCCAGATATGACTACCTTCTCTTCAGATTCAGGAGTTCCTTCAATGTGCAATTTGAGGTGGTTAAGAGATTGCAACTGTGCAAGAATTCCAATATCATCCTCCAACACCTCAACTGTGAGATCAAGGTCAATGAGGTTATGGAGCTCTGCAATCCACTTAGGAACCCTCGGAAACATGCACAACATATGAAGCCTCCGAAGAAGGTAAGGAGAAGCAGACGAACTCAACACATACAAACTGTTGATGTTAGAATCCGTGTGCAAATATCTGAGGTTGCAAAGTTTTTCAAGGGAACATCTCAAAACATCCAAGCGCAATTCATTCATGTTCATAAAACTGTAACATATTCGAAGATCCCTCAAATTGGTCAGATTTCCAAGGTCTCTGATGTTGTCTATAGAATTCAAGCCCACATCAAACTCTTGCAGCGTACATAAAGATTTCATGTTGCCAATCCCGTTGGGCAAATTTGTCCTACTAGGGATGATCAGGTGCTGCAACCGGCGCAAATGAATAACATCTGACGGAACTTCCAGAGGACATACTCCTAACTCCAAGGTCTCCAATTGCTCTAGTCCCCGAATTTTCCTTGGTAACACTATTTCACCATCTGCTTTGACTTTTAGATACCTCAGTTGGAACAAATGAGATATTCTAGTGAGATCAGGTATCTCCGACCCATGGTTTCCAATTGTAAACTCAAGAGTTAAAACTCGGAGATGCTTGAACTTCAAGAGAGGAGGTGCATATGCAGAGGTACCAAATCTCGCCAGCGCTCTTACTTGTGAGAGCTGGGTGGTTTCCAACATTGCACCATCTATTATACCATCCAGATAGTACTTCACTATTATGATCTGTATCAACTGGTTGAATGATGCCTCTATTAACAAGCTCGTTAAAATAGCACTCTGCAACATCCTCTGGCCATTGCCCATGTGCTTTACTTACAAAACCTTGGGCTACCCATTGCCTGACCAAATCACTTTTCTTGATTATATAGTCCTCTGGATACATACCCAAATAAAGCATGCATGTCTTCAAATAGTGAGGAAGATTTATGTAACTAAGGCTCAGTATTTGCCTCATTCCTTCCAATGTTGGATTCACCTCAAAATTAGGGCCCAGAGAATTCATTATGTGCACCCAATGCTCCTTCAATTTGTTTCGCTCACTAGCCAAAAGGCTAGATATAGTCACAATTGCAAGAGGCAAGCCGCCGCATCTTTTCAAAATTTGAGCTGAAACTTCTTCCAAGTACGGAGGGCAAGCATCTTCTAAACCAAATACTCGTTTAAAAAATAGCTTTCTTGAGTTTTCTTTGCTTAGTGACTTCATCTTATAAACATAGTCACGTTGATGGCAGCAGCAAGCTCTAGCCACAGAATTAATTCTGGTAGTTGCTATTATCATGCTACCGTACATATTTTCTGGAAGAGCACATCTAATAACATTCCATGTAGTTTCATCCCAAATGTCATCAATTA